GGCCATTCCTGAAATCGATTATTACAACTGTTTCGAAGATTGGAAAATCCGTTGGAATAAGTGTATTATATCAGGGGGGGATTACTTTGAAGGGGACGAAATTGATTTGCAAGAATAAATAAAGAATTTTCGAAATAAATGCAATGTCACCTTACTTTTTGGACACAGTAGTATGTGCATGACATATCCGTGTGCCGAATCGACGCCGAGTCGAAGCGTGTCGCCGTTTCAGCTGCATACATATATGTAGAGGTGACACAACGAGCGGCGTGTAACACAAAATTGTGTGCCCAAAGATAATTATCTTTCGTTTTCTCGAAGTCGTGATAAAAAATTGATAGCGCGCGATTACATTTAAGAGATTATTTTATAAGACAGCTCACCTTGAAACCGTAAGATGTTCCTGTGACTTAAAAAAATAGAAAGAAAGAAAGCAATAAAAACTGTTCTATCTAACTGTTCTCTATCGTAATTGTTTCTCTATCGTAACGTTTGCATGTATCGAATCCGTAAGAAATGAAATCGTTTTCTATCGTACTCTGTTAGGAGAGTATTAAATCGTTACTATGATAAAATTCTTAGAGACTTGTCGTGTCCTATCGTTCTGTTGGAATTTATCATGAAAAAATCACTGGAAATCTGTCATAACATGTGGTGTATTAACGATTTGAGAAACTCAAAGTTCTTTATCGTATAAAGGAAACCTATCATTCTCGATTGTGTACGAACGATATTTGACTTTGTACGTATAATTACGATAGAAGGCGTGCATCATAATCTATCGTCCAGTGGTTACGCCAAGAATGGGTGTTTTTCTATCATCTTCTTACGAAAACGTAACACGCTTTTCACGCGTAACACGTGTATCACGACTCGCTATGTCTCATAGTATGGGCAGAGAGACGCGGAGAGACGCGATTCGTGAGTGTCAAAGTCGCACGTCGGCCGAAGGCATCTTTCTTTCCGCTGCCGCTTTCTGTACGCTGATTTGTTGACAAAATTATTAATTTCTCAAAAACTTTGAAAACTTTGAAAATTGTGAATATTCCAAAACGGCACAGGACTTTCTTACTCACCTAAATCCGTTCTACGTTCTCACCAAGGGTCATCATGAAGGGTCGAGATACGCTGTGTACAGTGTTTGACGCAAGGTATACAAAAGCACACATGTGAAAGTGAAACATGTTAACCTGAACACGAAGAGCTCTAGCATTTCGCAAATAACTACGTAAGATTTTGAGATACTAAAAAAATTGACGAATCTGAGCGCACGTTATTGGACTCTGTAAGCGCAAGATCTTATCGAAAATGGTTAAAACACTATTGTATTTTAGCATAGTCGGATATCGACTGATAGCTCAAGGTAGAATAAGGATGCGAACAGCGTGATAATAATTATTTTCCGATGTATGGTGAGCGTGTCGCAAACAAACAACCACATTTCAAACAATTTTGATGATATCTTGCGCTAACGGAACTTGTTTCACAATATTGCGTAAGGTGGTTCGTTAATCTTTTTTTATCAATATCTCGAAATTTCACGTAATTGTTTATAAAATGACAAAGGTTTTTTTGTGCAGGTTCCTTTTTCGGCGTGCTTTACCTTCAAATATAGTTTTGTATGGCTTACGTCAGACACTTTGTATACACGAGGAAAATACAAGAATATACCACAAGTAGAAATGTCGTCTTTAAATTTTTTTTTAAATTGATCTTGTCTTTTCAGACAATCCAATATATTAATATATGTTGTTGCAATACGGAATCTCCGGATTTGAATGCTGAATTTGATGCTCAGTAACTCAGTAACTGACTACTTGTAAATGGCAAGCGACACGGTTGAAATGAAATTTATAACAAGAGAGTAGAAGTAGTAATTTGGAGCTATATATACCCACGCGCGTCAGAGCAATGAGAAGAATGAAGGGAGATTAGAGAAATTATTTTGTTTGTTGACTTGCTATCTCGTTTATTGTACATATCTTCCTCTTCCTGCGAGTGATTAATCCTAAGATCAGAGTAGAAAACGACACACACTCCATAAATAGATAAGCCACTTCTAATCAATAATATTATCACTGTAATGTCGAAATTTTAGCTCACGGCCACTTCACATCACTGATCAGTCTGCTGATAGACAAGTCATTTTTATGAGCCATTTATATATTATTATACTAAACTACTTTTACTTCAACTAGTTCATAGTTGGCTAATTTTAATATAGATTTTTAAACCAATACGCAGTGATACGATAAAAGTGTGGACGCAGTTTCATGTGTTTACGATACTATGTAAAGGATAAAAAATAGAAAAATTATATTTTCCTCGCGCATCGAGTTACGGAAGAAGTTTAGTACAATAATATGTAAATGGTTCACAAATGACTTTTTTAGAGCAGTAATAGTTTTTTTAGTGTGTAGAACTGGTTTATTTATCTATAAACAGATTATCGTCGAACTTTGGAAATTGTTTGAAATTCATGATATTAAAAATGTCTCATAAATAGTAAAGAGAATCTCAAAAGATTTCATGCTTATGTTGTCAATTCTAAGTTCCTTTTCAGATGCAAAAAGAATTCTTTTTATAAATACGATACTACAATCACAAAGTTAATTCATTTATATTAATTTATTTTCGCGCTACTTATGATAACTGATTTTACATATACGAGGGTAGTCCCAGAAGTACTCGGCCTAACAAAGAAAACACAAAAATTTTGAAAAAATATATCTTTATTTCTCAACCTATAGTCCCCTTTTAGCTCGATACACTTTTCCCAGCGATGTTCAATAGGTTCGATACCATGTTTATAGTGAGAACCATCGAGTTCCTCAAAATAGCCATCAACCGCAGACTCCACTTCTTCATTGTTAGCAAATTTTTTACCACCAAGCCATTTTTTCAAGTTTGGAAATAGATAATAATCTGAGGGGGCTAAATCTTGTACGCGTAGTCTAGTAAGCGCTGTATCATAGGATACAACGCGTACTTTATGTGAATAGGGTGCGTGAGAAAGCAATTCGAACTTTAACTCATTGATTTTGGCCATCGCAATAACGGACGTGTGAGCCGGTGCATTGTCATAATGAAACAACACTTTCTTTTTCGCCAAATGCGGACGTTTTTTCTTGATTTCATCACTCAAACGCTGCAATAAGTTCGCATAATACTCGCCGTTGATTGTTTTTCCTTTTTGAAGATAATCAATGAAAATTATCCCACGCACATCTCAAAAAACTGACGCCATAACCTTGCCAGCCGATGGAGTTGTCTTTGCCTTTTTCGGAGCCGATTCTCTCCTTTCAGTCCATTGTTTCAACTGTTCTTTCGTCTCAGGTGTGAATCGACGCAAAAACTCGGCCTTATTACTGCGAAACATCGCCAAACACTCGATTGAAACATCCTCACGACGCTGTTTTTGTTCAATTGTGAGCAAACGCGGCATCCATCGTGCGTACAGCTTTTTCATGTCCAAATTTTCAGTCAATATGCGATGTACAACACTTTTTGATATGCCTCCCATGTCAGCTAACTCGCGCACTTTCAGTCGACGGTCATCTAATACCATTTTGTGGATTTTCGTCACCATTTCTGACGTGGTCACCTCATTTGGTCGACCACTGCGATGTTCGTCTTGGCAGCTCTTATAGCCTCTTTTAAACTCTGCCACCCAATATTTTATTGTTGTAAACAATGGAGCAGACTCCCCCAGAGTAGAATCTAGCTCAGTTTTGATATTGGTTGGACTGAGACCTTTCAAATGAAAATATTGTATCACATAACGATGACCAATTTTCTCCATGTTTACAAATGTACTGAGAGCGTTCACTATTGGTGGTTGCCAAACTAATACTAAATAACGTAGCGTCTTGAAACTTCAAACTTCAGCTTTATAAGGTTGATACTTTCGGCCATAGTGATTTTTTTCAAACAACAACCGCCATCTATACGTCAGGTCGGGTACTTCTGGGACTACCCTCGTACAGGGTGTCTCATAATTGTAACACATCAACTCCATAGGAGCTAAACAGCTAAACGAGAGGATCAGAAAAGTCCTCTTCTATTTTGAGATAACGCGTCTAGTTATTAACAATCGCGTAAAATTTGGTGTTTGTCACGCCTATCGCGGCCTATAGACTCTCCGCGACGAGGTGAGTGCGTAGAGGCAGAGCGGTAAAGGCCATCACAAAAAATTCCATAAGGACGTAAACTGAAGACATAAAGTGTAAAGTCCATGACACACAGTTGTCGTAACGTTAAGTTCAACCAATAGCAAACTTGGAAAGATTCTTTCCCATTTATAACAGTTCAACGTAATTAAATGCAGTGTACTATTTTACTAAACAGTAAGTATGCTTCCTTTTTATAATTTATTGAAGTGCATATTTAACATTAATATCAAATTCAGATATATGGGCATTAGAATCATCGACATTTGGATAACAAAGAATGTTTCATGTTGAAAAATGCGTCATATAAGTTATATTTAACTGACATGTTGTATTAATATTTTTTTTCAATCGTAATTAGAAAAAATTGTCTCAGCAAAAAATCTAAATCACTTATATCTGAAGAAAAAAGAATTTTGAATGATTGAAGATTCAAGATATAAAAATTTGAAGTATTAAAGGCCAATAGGAGGTAATGCTGCTTGTTGTTTGTGTCAAAATTGAACATTTTAATAATATATTTTAATAATATATGACTAGAACAATGTTATGCTAAGAAATATACAAATATTTCAATCGTCGTTTGATTCTTTTCAATGTTAATAACACTGAAACGTTTGCATATTTCTTAGCATAACATTATTCTATAATAATGTATTATGAAAATGTTCCATTTTGACACAAACAAGCAGCGTTGGTTCCTATTGGCCTTTAACACTTCAAGAAAAGAATTAAGAAGAAAAATTATAAAGAAATAGTTTTGTACATGTATAAATAAAATTTTTTCAGGTTATTTGTTAAAGAAAAATACAGAATAATGACAGATAGGGAGGGACAAATACAAGATTCAGCTATGAATCCGATCCATAGAACATTGCTATAAAACATTGCTATAGAATATAAAAATGACTCGTCTATCATCAGCAGACAGATCAGTGATGTAAGCGGCCGTGAGCTAAATTTCAATACTACAATGATAATATTATTGAGCATAGAACTGGCTTAACTATTTATGAAGTGTGTGTCGTTTTCTAGTCTGATCTTAGGATTAATCACTCGCAAGAGGAGAAAGATATGCACAATAAACAAGATAGCAAGTTATTAACTCATAGGGCGGTATTCATAGTTAGATCTTATATATAAGATTATCTTAAGATGTCACCTAGTTTTACAGTCGCGACTTAAAATGTCGTTAAAGTCGCGTCTTAAGCATATACTTGATAAAGATTATCTTCAAATAAGATCATTTTAAGAACTTAAGATAACGAGTAGTTTCATAGTCACAACTTAAGAGCAATCTTAATATTATGTACTAAGGCAGTTATTCATAAATGAATCTTATATTTAAGATCGTCTTTTATAACGTAATGA